GACAGAGGAAGAGGGAGGGGGAGAATCCCAAGAAGACACCTGCTGAGAGCAGACCCCAATGTGGGGCTAGATCTTACAACTCATTAGATCGTGACCTGAGCCGGAATCCTAAGTAAGACTCTCAACTGACTGAGCCACCCAGGTGCCCCCGAATTAGGTATTTTAAAGCAAACAATTCAGTGTTCAGTACACTCGTTTTGGGGAGGTTTTGAAAAGATTTTATTTATTTATTTATTTGACAGAGAAAGAGAGAGAGAGAGAACGAGCACCAGCAGGAGAAGCAGCAGGCAGAGGGAGAGGGAGAAGCAGGCTTTCCCCCAAAGCAGGGAGCCCGCTGTGGGACTCAATCCCAGGACCCTGGGATCACAACTTGAGCTGAAAACAGACGCTTAACTGACTGAGCCACCCAGGCGCTCCAGGGTTTAGTACATTCGTAATGTACTAAATCACTTCTCCCTGGTTCCCGAAAGTTTTCATCACCCCCAAAAGAAACCCCATGCCCATTAAGTGGTTACTCCCCAAGCCCTATCCCTCCGGTTTCCCTGGCAACCACCAGCCTGCTTTGTGTCTCTATAAACTTAGCTGTTTTAGGTATTTCATGGAAATGGAATCATGCAACATGTGGCCTTTGGTGCCTGGTTTCCTTCATTTAGCAGTAGAAGACCTTGAGGGTTCATTTACATTTTAGCATGTGTCGGTACTTTATTCCTTTTTATGGTGAATGAAATTCCATCGTATGTATATGCCATGATTTATGCGTCTACTCACCCACTGATGGCATTTTTACCTTTTTGAGGGACTTCTAGACTGGGGGGGACTGTTGTTGACAAAGGTGGTTGACTGTGTTTATTAAAGGAAACAGGACCATTGCCAACATGCCCAGGGTGCTGTGGGGAGCGGGGTCCGTGCCCGCTTGCCCTACCATGGCTAGGGGGAAGCTGCTGGAAGGCTATCTCCCCCCTGTCCCCGAGTCCGGGACACGTGAAGCTTAGGGTCTGCCCTTCGGAAAGGACTCCAACGTGGTGAGGAGCTGGCTGAAGACAAGGGGATAAAACAATGGGTAATTAGGAGGAAAGTCACCAACACCCGCCATGACCTTGAGCTAGTTCTTGTGAAGCCCTTGGAACAGCACCTGGCACATGGCAAGTGCTTGGTACATTCAAGCTGTAATGATCACTGCCATCATTTTTACTAATACTTTTGAAGGTGGCAACAACATCGTGAATGCCAGTTTCATAAAAAGATTATCACCAAAAGATTACAACTCCCTGCTTGATATGTCAGCATGATTTTTCAGAATTTCCCTTCCCTCTCCTCATTCCTTTTATTATCTACTAGGGGTGGTTAGATTTACCACTGAGGTCATAGGCTGGAGAATGTCGGTAAGGGTTGTGATAGAATGAAAGAAACCCAGAGACCCTGGGTCCGTTGGGTAGATCATTGCCAGCAGATATAGCCCCTGAGTGTGACTTCCGGTACAATTCTTGGGGAGAAGCAGTGACATCCAGAGCTCTATCTGGGTTGTCCCATCTCATAAGGAAGGACTTCCTTAGTCCTAAACCTGGAAGGAGGGTGTGTGGGGGGTGGGCGGGGAGCACAGTGCAAAGGATGGGATACAGAGGACACCTGTTGCTTTTGCCTGCCCAGCATTCTTTCTTAGCCGATTCTAGGAACAGCGCCCCCTTCCTTTGGGTAACTGCCTCTGCTCTACCCTATAGGGTTCTGGTGCGCACACTGACCAAAAAGCACACTAACTGTACCTCCCAGCCTGTAGAGCCCAACTGTCTCTACCCCCAACTCCAGATTCCTGGGTTGGAATCCTACACCCCATGAGATAGTATTTGGAGGTGGGGCCTTTGGAAGGTGAACAGGTCACGAGGGTAGACACTTCAGCAGCGGGATGGGTACCCTTCTAAGAGACCCCCCCCCCACACACACACACACAGCTCCCTGGTCCCTTCCACGGGTGAGTTCAGGAGAAGTCAGCAGTGTGTAACCCCACAGTGGGTCCTCACCAGAACCCGCCCTTGCTGGTGTCACGAGCTCGGACTTCTGACCTCCATAACGGTGAGAAACTAGTGTCTGTTGTTGACAAGCCGTCCAGTCTGCAGTATTTTGCTATAGCAACCCCCAAAGGACCAAACCACACCCCAAAACACACCCGGTGACCTCTGCTGGGCCAACTAGATTCTCTCAAAGGATCACAATGGACGAGAAGGGGCAGGTGGCTGAGTTGTGATGGATCGAGGCTCCGGAGGCGTCCTCCTCTGTTCTGGAGGCCTGCTCCCTGTCCTCTCCCAGGCCTGCTGGGTCCGCTGCACCTCTGAAGCTGGAGCTGCCTCGCGGGTGTTCCAGAACATTCTTAAGTTACATTAGCTTGAATCAATCTCTAGGACTTGTGTTAGAAAAACTTAATCAAACCACAGCTCCAGGCAGCCCAGAAGTGTCTGGCTGTCAGCTCCCTAATTCTCCAGCACCAGCGACTAGAGCCAGGTCCCCAGTGGGCACGGCAACCTGCAGGGCCTGATTCCGAACATCAGATTGACTAACTGGCTGGCTTTCCTACCATCCTCATTCAGGTCACAAAAGGGAGGCGCTGGCTGGTGTGTTTGGTAACAGAAACTCTCCAGGCCTTTGACGAGAGCATGTATAGTTCCCTTTAACTGTGTGATGTCTCCCTCCCCAACCCCCTTCACTGCCAATCTCTCAAGGAATAACAAAGGACAAGAAATCCTCAGGATATGGGGGTCAGGGGGTGCAGACCTGACCTTAGAGAAGTCCCTACAGAGAAGGGGTGTAGGATTGGGAGAGCAACAGGCGGAAGGAGGGACAGGAGCATCAAGGCAAGGGTCCATGTCGCAGGAGCAGCTCCTCCCCAGGATGGTCACACGCTGGTAGAAGTGGAAAGAAAAGTCCGTGTTGGGGGAGGAAGTAGACAGCTGGGAGCAGAGAGGCCTAGGTCAGGAGCCAGAGCCAGAGAAGGCCCTGTGGTGTGTGTTTGGGTCAAGAAAAGGGCTTGACCACCTCCTCCCCTGCCCTCGGGCCTCCCCAGCTTGCTCTCCCCCCACCCAACCTCCCCCGCAGGTCCCCAAGGGCCTGAACAAGGCCTGCAATGTGGATGTGGGCCCAGGGCGTGGGCCCCTCACCTGCTCCCTGGGCGCGTGGGCAGGAGGCCGGAGTGGCTGAAACCAGAGCCCAGGGGCCACCACCAAGCCAGCAGCCAGCGGGATGGGCTTCCCCAGCCCGAGGCAGCTGCCGCCCAGTGGGGCGGTGGGACACAGGAAGCCCTGATGGCTGGTTTGGGTCCGAATTTGCCTAAACATTCACCTGCCGAATAGCCAACTTTGCCCAAAACGGTGTGTTTGAAATCGCAAGAGACAGAGGGAGCTTCGGGTAAGTTTGTAGTCAGCAGTGTCGGGGCCCCCGAGGAAGGGGAGGTGAGGTTTACAAAATGAAGCCGCTCGGTGACAAACCCCGTGTTTTCTGTGTCACCCCAGAAGCGGCACGTCCTGCACGTGACATTATTCTGCTCTCCCCGTGCCTCTTGGGGGTCTTGCATCACCAGCCCTGCTGTGGTAAACACCAGCCTGGTCCAGTGGCTGGCCTGGTCACCGAGGAAGACCCTTGGTCCCTGGGGGAAGCCTCGGCATCTGGGTCCGTTGCCAGGGAGAGCCACAGGGAGGCCGGAGGGCGGCCGCCCCGGCTGGAGGACAGCCTCTGTCCAGAGTACGGGAGGCCAGGATTCCGGGGCACCTCAGACCCCTCCAAGTCCCAGCTCAGCAGCCCACCTACCCCTCATCCCTCCTCCCTGCCTGGAGGGTCCAGAGGTCACCCGCAGAGCCGGGGCTGGCTGCCTGGGCCACCCGGTCTGCCACCAATAGCCCCCAGTGTGGCCTCTGGAAGAGGGTGGGGGAGGGCTGGGGAGACAACCCAGGGCTTCTCGCCTCATCAACGTGACCAAATGACACAGACCCCCCCCCACACACATACACACTCTGCGGAGACACAGATCTCGGCACACAATGGTGTGGCAGGTCATTCCCACAGATACAGAGGCCAGAACTGGGTCTGCTGTTTCCTAGCTGTGTGGCCACAGGGGAGCCACTGACGTCCACGCCCCGGGGTCTCAGTTTCCCCAACTGTAATGCAGGAGAGTCACGACCACAGTCTTGTATCTCAAACCTTTGGGGCCCGTTGTGTTTCAGAGTTGCCCACGGTTTGGATTCAGGGGAAGGTTTTGGGAATGCTTCTCAGCCCCCTCGCAGCCCTGATCTGTCACATGCTACTATTTCTCCAGGAAGCCACGAATATGCAAATGAAGCAGGATACTCAAAAACCATGTTTTTACCCCCCCCCGGGGGGGGTCAGGGTCAGGTCCCTCCACCACCCAAATTACGAAAACACATCTCGGTCTTCAGCGACTTCGGCAATTTACAGTTACAGGTTCGGGACATCAGCCCTCGTCCGTCCCCCAGCTCGGAGAGTAGGAGAACGACGTGACAGCACCCACAGCGGCCACCGGTGACGCCTTGGCGGGGCGCTCCGTCCACACTGGGCCCTGAGGGGCTCCTCCCCACAGCTCGGGGCCGCAAGAGCTGTACTGATACCCATTTCACAGCTGCGGTCGCCGTGGATCGAGTCCTCGCCTTGCTGGCCACTGTCTTTGCGGCTGGCACACTGTGAGGACAGAGCGGCGGGGACTGGGGCCTCTGCCTACGGTTGCACCGCTTTCCTTCACTACAAGGGCTAGAAGAGAAAGAGGCAAACAAGGAAAACAAAAGTGAAAACCATTTCTCCGTAAGCCCTGCTCTTGCGGGAAGTGTTTCAGTTTGTGCCATTTCTGTGCCCATGAAGCGCAGATCCAAGTTCTCAGCTGACTCAGAAGAGGCCAAGTAGAGCCTCGGGCTTTCCCCCGAGCGGGGAGGGAGGGGAACCTGCTGGAAAACCAGCAGAACCTGCTGGAGACTCTGCACTGCACGTCAGTCCCCCCGCAGCACCCCGCCACACCAGAGGCCCCGGAGAGGTGAGGACAGGGCACGGGGTGGGGGTCCTTCCCCACCGGGGCCCCCGAGGCCTCAGTGAGACAGCCCAGCGGCGGAGGAGGGGGGCTGTAGGCACTTGGCTGGGGACAAAGGTCTGGGACCAGGGCCACGGGGGCTCATGTCCTGGTCCTGCCAGGGCTCCGGCCTCGGGAAAGGACTGAAGCTCAACTTTTTTTATCATAAATCAGGGTAGGACTTGCTCCTCCTGGGCTGTTTGAAGTTTAAACGTATACAAGATTACGAAGGTGATAGGACAGACCAGAATACATCTCCCCTCTTCCAGCTGGGGACCCCCCACAACCAGAGCTAGACCAGAGGGTCGGTCCCCAGAGTGTAGGAGTCCTCGCTGGTGACCCGTGTTTCCCATGAGGGTCATCCTTGGCGAAAGAAAGAGGCTAAGTGACTTGTTTCCAAAGTGCAAAGACAACCAGCAGGGGTCCCGGGACTGTAGGTTTATTGGTGGGGAGGGGGTAGACTTGGGGAAGGGAGAATGCTTCCCTGTTGTATCTGCGTGTTTGGCTGTTTCTTTCTTTCTTTCTTTCTTTCTTTTTTTTTAATAGACTTCATATTTTATTTATTTTTTTTAAGATTTTATTTATTTATTTGAGAGAGAGCAAGAATGAGAGAGAGAGAGCATGAGAAGGGGGAGGGTCAGAGGGAGAAGCAGACTCCCTGCTGAGCAGGGAGCCCTATTTGGGATTCGATTCCGGGACTCCAGGATCATGACCTGAGTTGAAGACAGTCGCTTAACCAACTGAGCCACCCAGACACCCCTAGACTTCATATTTTAGAATAGTTTTAGATCTACAGCAAAAGTGAGGGGAAAGGACAAATTTCCCATACACCCCCTGGCTCCCTCTTCCCCCCCATGCACAGCTCCCCCCATCAACATCCTAGACCAGAGCGGGACACATGTCAGAGCTGGTGAGCTTACAATGACACAACATTATATCCCAGAGTCCATAGTTTCACTGGGTTTCTCTCTTGGTGCTGTATACTTTATGGGTTTGGGGTTTGGGTGAATGTATAATGACGTGGGTCCATCCACCATTACAGAATCTGGAAGAGTAGTCTCCTGCCCTAAAAATCCTCTGTGCTCTATTAACCACTCCCTCCTCCCAGCTCCCAGCAACCACGGCTCTTTTTATTGTCCCCAGAATTATGCCTTTCCGGAATGCCCTATAGCTGGAATCACACAGAACGTAGTTTTTCAGGCTGGCTACTTTCACTTAGTCATATGCATTTAAGGTTCCCCCAGGTCTTTCCATGGCTTGATAGCTCCTTTGTTACAGTGCTGGTTAATACTCCTTAATCTGGCTGGACCACTGTTTGCTTACTCACTACTCAAAGGTATCTTGGTGCTCTCCAAGTTTTGGCAATTACAAATATCGTTGCTATAAATACCCGTGAGCAGATTTTTGTGTGGACACAAGTTTTCAAGTCCTTTGGGTAAATATCAAGGAATGTGATTGCTGGACCGCATGGTCAGGGTATGTTTAGTTTCCTAAGAAATTCGCAACCGTCTTTCAAAGTGTCTTTGTATTCCCGCCAGCAATCCGTGAGGGTTCCTGTCGCTCCATATCTATCCTCACCAGCATCTGGGGTTGTGATGTTCTGGATTTTAGCCATTCCAATAGGTGGATGCTATGGTATTTTTAAGTTTTCATTTCAAGATAATGGTAGACTCACATGCAGTTGTAAGAAATAATACAGGGAGAACCTATGTAACCCCTTTACTCGGATTCCCTGGTGTAAGGTTTTGCAACATTGTCCTAGGGTAGCACAACTGGGAAATTGACATTGATACAAACCACCAACTTATTCAGAGTCCACCAGCTTGACTCCCACTGGAGTGTGTGTGTGTGTGTGTGTGTGTGCATGCATGTGTGTGAGCAAGTGTGTGTATTTAGTTCTAGGCAATTTCCTCCCATGTATAGATTCGTGTGGTTAACGCGAGAATTAAGATACCCAACAGTCCCACCATATAGAGCCCTTAACTTACCCTTCATAGACGCAGCTACCTTCCTGGGCTGCTCTGACTTTGTCTATTCTAGTTTTAACTTTTCTGGGTCACTGTACTTCAGATCTATCTCCTGTAAGCCATGTATGTGGTTGGTTTTGCTTTCTCAATGGATATCAGGGTCTTTTCCTTTCGATAGAGGATATTTATCCTGTTTATAATTGCAGAAATGTAGGACATCCTGCATTTATTTGTTGGGGTTGGTATTTCCCTCAACATTTATTTATTTATTTATTTGGGGTTGGCATTTTCCTAGCTAGTTCACAGAGAAGGAAAAATAAACAGAGCAGTGAGTTAATTTTCTTGAAATTTCAGAATTGGTAAGTGACAGAGGGGGGCTTCCAATCCCCTTTACCACACCGTCTCTATATTAACGATAGGTCGGTTTCCTCCTCTGGAAGGTTAAAACAATGTCTCTTCCCAGCCAGACTCCCTGTTCTTCTGATATGGAAAAGAGCAGAGACGCCCTTCTGAGCATCACAGTCGCAGAGATCCTTGAAATCTGCCAAGGTAAGCTTTCCTCCATCCCAGCCATTTTCATTAGAAGGTAAAGCAGAATCCACGGATGTCTTTGTAAGAGAAAGATGGGAAGGAGAATGCCTCCCAGAACATTTAAAAATACAAAGATACACTGAATGTGGCTTCCAAAGTGTCAAATTCTTTGTTCTCCTTGTACATCACCCACTGTTCCTTCTCCACTTCTTGCTGCTTTCTTGTCTTCTTCGTGGGCTTACCTGTCGGGGTACTCCGGACCTCAGTCATGGACCACACTTGACCTTTACCAGTACTTTCTTCCTAGGGTTCTTTTGCAATTTCATGGCTTTAAGTACTTTCTACACAGATGGCTCCCAGATTGACTCTCCTAGCCAGAACAGGGATCCTCTATCCAGCACCGCTTGGATGTCTAATGGGCACATCCAACTTAACCCACCCCAAAGTGAAGTCTATTTCCTGCCCAGAAAACCTCGACCCTTCCCATCTCAGGAAATAAAATCTTCCCTGTAACAGTCCTTGATGCCCCAAATTTGACTCAGCCTGAAGTCATCCTGGCCTCTGCTCTCCCATGTCCCACATCCCCTGATGAATCCCGGGGCTTCCTGCAAACACAGCCTCTCTCATTGCTCTGCCAGTCTCATCCAAACGGCTGTCCTCTCTTGCTCTAACCACCACAACAGCTTCTAACTGGTCTCCTTGCTTCCTGTCTTGCAAATCTGGAGTCTCTTTTCCAATCATCTAAGTTAGATCAAGGCCACTGCTAGCCCATTCAGTGCCCTGGAGCTTAGTAAAAAAGCCCACCCCACCTGAGAGTGGATATAGCTCCGAGGTTACATTCTTTACAACTGGGCACCTGGGTGTCTTAGTTGGTTGAGTGTCTGCCTTTGGCTCAGGTCATGATCCCAGGGCCTTGGGTTCAAGTCCTGCGTTGGGCTCTCTACTCAGTGGGAAGTCTGCTTCTCCCTCTCCAACTCAAATAAATAAACAAATTTAAAAAAAATGGATAACAACTCTGTGCAAACAAGCACACACCCAATCGAAGTGCTCCCTTCTCTAGATAAGACGTAGCACCCCCGCCATCCCTGGCCCCCAGGTCTCAACACTTGGCAAGTAGATGGATTTCAGACACCACCTGTATGCGCTGGCAGGATTTTTTGCAGTCCTCACACTATTAATAGAATATAAAATGTCTGTTGGAATGTAATTTATACAAAGGGACCTCGTAAGTTGTTGCCTTGTTCTGTGAAATGATTTTTAATCAATATAATCAATTCATTCATAATAGTCAATGACCAGAAACAACCCAAACATGTCAATCAATGGAAGAACAGATCAACAAATTGTAGTGTATTTGTTTATTTGAGAGAAAGAGAGAGGAGCCGAGGGAGAGGGGCAGACTCCCCACTGAGCTTGGAGCCCGACGTAGGGCTCGATCTCACCACCCTGAGATCATGACCTGAGCTGAAATCAAGAGTCTGATGCTTAAGCGCTGGGCCACCCAGGCGCCCTGCAGTGTATTTATAGAATGAAATGCTCCATAGCAATCATTTTTAAAACCAGTGATACCCGCAACAGGAGCAAATTTCACACACATTAAGTTGAGTGACAGAGGCCAAACAAACAAATGACTCCATTTATATGAAGTTTAAGAACAAGCAAACTGATCAGTGGTTATGGAAGACTGGTTACCCCCCGGGGTGGAGTGAGTACGACTGCGAGTGGGTCAAAGAAAGCTGCTTTCCTACATCTTGATTAGGGCGGTGATTCCTCGGGTATGTGGCTACGTGACAGTTTCTTGAGCTGAGGACTTGACTTTCTGTGCATACTGCACTAAAGCAACTGCGGGCAGCAGTTTGCAAATATTTAGTACGTTGCCAGTATTTCATTACTATTTTGATTTTACGTAACCTAAAATCCTGCGTCGCATCTTGAAATTCACAAGGTTTCCTGGCACCTGCGGTAACCTTGTTTTCCAGGTGTGCAAGCAGAACGTCATGTGACCCCCGAGCACGCCTCTAATCCTCCCATGGACCGAAATAGCTCAACCTTGGGGTGGCAGGAGCCTCTGGACGATGAGGCAGGGACGGAATGCCCGAGGTAACGGGGAGGGCTTTGTCCCTGGGGAGGGCGGCTCCGGCTGAAACGCTCCAGGCATCCTGATATCCACAGGGGAACAAGTACTCCACGGCCAAGCTGCGTGTTTTGGAGAGAAGGCCAGATCCGTCAGGTGCCCGACATCGGGCAGTAGGCCCGGAAAGGCAGAAACTGCCCCGCTTCTGGGGTGGGGCCCACGTGGGTGCAGCCATTACCGAAAGAGCCCGTTGGTGTCACCGCATGGAAGGAGTCTGGCCCTGGGGGGCTGCTCCGCAGCCGACACCCCCCACCACAAGCTTCAAGTACAATGTGGACAGTCCACCTGAGTCCACTGAGTGAGCAGGGGAAGCCGTCTGCGAGGCGGTGCCTTCTGGAGGGGGACAGCCACGCTGCACCTGTCAGCCAGCCCTGGGGCCCTGTGAGGAAGCGCGGTGGCGGGAAGTCCACATCGGAGACGTTTGGGCTCATTCGAAAGCACAAGAAGCCCAGCACCTGTTCTCTCTCAGCTACGCTAAGAGAAAACTTGGCAGGGACACAAAGTGGGGCTGTCTGTTCCTGCACCTCCTTGTCCTTTTGTCTCCTTGTCCCCACTCACCCTGAGGAAACACAAGGGCAGGGATGGACGGACTGTGGCATCCGCAAAGGGTAGGGGTCCTCAGCAGTGTCCCCTCTCCTGGCCTTCATCCCTCCCCCTTTGCCCTGCGAGCCCCCGGCAGCATTCCACGCTGTGAACTGATTTATAGCAGGTGATTAACTGATCACGGGGCCTGAGTACGTTCGTTACTATCACTAAGGGGTTTCCTTGGAAGTATATTTGGTTTTTCACCTTTTCCATTGAGAAATTACATATGTGTGTGTGTGAAGACAGAGAGAGATTGAAAGGTATATGCATATAGCCCCTGGTGGGGAACTCCTAACATCGGCTGACAGAGGAGAGAGAGGCAACCCAGGGGGGCGGTGGGCTCCAAGCTCCATCTCCACCTTGCGCGTCTCTTTGGGCGAGTCCCGTTTCCTCTCTGGGCTTCTGTTCCCTCTGATGACAAGTAAAGGCAGTAGCTTGGACCCTGGGGTTCCTTCCAGTTCTGATTCTCTCCTCTAGGCCGGTGAATGCCATCGCCGGGCCTCCTAAGCTCTCGCCCTGGAGATGCACCAATGGTCCTCGGCATGAGGAAAGTGCCCAGAGGAATAGGCTTGCTCTTCCCCGACACTGTTGTCCCATAAAGGCCAAACTCTGCTGGAGTGACAAAGATCCCTTAATACTTTGTACTGTGAGACCCCGGGGAAGAGAGGCCCTTTGTCCCTGACATCTTCCATGAAGGACCCATCCTATCTGCTTGAGTTGTCCAATAAAGCTGGCCAAGTGCCAAGGAGAACCTTCGGAATATTAGTGATAATTTACCTCAACCCTCTCAGTGTTCAACCCCAGAAGGAGGCAAAGGCCACTGCAGAAGCCGAACTCGAGGTCATGGCGGTGTAGGCTACGTTGTACAATGTGGCCTCTCCTTCCTCTGACTCACCTCCACCTGGTCTCCTCTTTCTCCTGCTTTTCCCACACCAGTCCCCCCATTAGACCCAGCTTCTTTATCTTGCCTCCATTCTCAGCATTCCCTCACTGCCCCTCCTGGGTGTCAGTCTCTTTGAACAAAGCTGCACGCGCCCCTCGGGTCTAATCTACCTTCTCCATTTCTTAGGCAAGGCTGTTTCTCCCATTTGTCCCTCCAGAAACCCCTCTTATGTGTTTCTTCTCTTTCATAGAAGCTACGGCTCCCAACAATGCTCTGGGACTCCCCCATGGTCAGGTGAGAGGTGACAGAGCTGTATCAGGGAGAGGTAGGAAGGATTCAAGACTGGCAAGAACATCCAGAAACCGCAATGGGCCTGACTGAGAATGTGACTTTCCCATCTGAGAGACTCAAGCAAAACCTTTATTTTGCTCACCCACAGGGACCAGGAGTACATTCTTCTGTGTGAAGGTGTGCGGCAACAAGATAAGGACCTGTCGGCTGAAGAAACAATATTTTTGGAGGAGTTTCCCATCTTCAAAGAGGAGCTAGAAGTGGAAATTAGAGAGCTCCATGCCCTTGCAGACGACATCGACACAGCCCACAGAACAGTCACCAAGGCCAACATGGTGGCCACCTCCATCACTGTGGTCTCAGACGCCATGAGCATCCTGGGTCTGGTCCTCGCACCAGCAACAATAGGAGGAAGTCTCATGCTCTCTGCCGCTGGTAAAGCTCTGGGGACAGCAGCCGGCCTCACCAGCATCTTCACCGACGTTATGGAACACTTCCAGAATCAAGAAGCTCAAACCCGGGCCAGCAGCCTAGTGTTCACCTGTGACCACGAGGTCAAGGAGGCTCAGGGAAAGGTCTTCCATGCCATGAGTGTCGGAAAGAAGGCCTTCAATTGCGGAAGTAACATCAGGAATGTCAAGAGGAACATACGTGCCTTTCAAGCGGCCAGAGCCCACCCACGCCTGGCCACTGCCGCCAAGCGTCTCCTGACCACTCGCCAACTCTCGGCCCGAAGGAGCAGGCAGGTGCAAAGGGTCTTTAAGGGCACAGAGGTGCTGTTAAAGAAAAGTGCTCGCGTGCTGTGTGGTGCTGTGACTGGCTTCTCCCTCTGCCAGGACATGGTCACCCTCCTGAGCGACTGGAGGCAACTGAAGGAAGGAGCAAGAACCAAGATGGCGGAAGAGCTGAGGGCCCACGCTTGGGAGCTGGAAGACCAGCTGACAGAACTCACCCAGCTCTACGAGAGCCTTCAGCAGCAGGTGACACTGCCACATCCCTCGTGGGTAGGGCTGGAGGGAGGCGGGGAGAACTAACCGGGGCTTATGGGCACCAAGATTTAAGGAGAGGTTGTTAAGGGAGCCGGCGTGTGTGCGTGTGTGTGTGTGTGTGTGGTTTTCTTGGATGTTCCTGAGGATGTGGCACACCTGGTGGCCCGGGAAGGGGACGTCCAAATGACATCAGGGACCTCTCGATGATAATGGCATCTGTCTTGGACAGACCTGGTCATGGCTTCTATTTCTGTCTCAATGCTCCTGGAGGTCCATGTGCTGGAAACAGGGTCCTCCCAGGTGTGCAGAAGAGGCCACTGAGCCACGGGGAGTGTCGCAGACTGAAATGTGTGCCCGAACCTTCACAGGTTGAAGCCATCAGCCTCAGAGGGGCTACAACTGGGACTGCAACTGGGACTGACTCAGGTCCTAGGAAGGGGTGATCCTAGGAGACTGGTGTCCTTCTAAGAGGAGGAGGGAATACAGGAGGGCTCTCTCTCTCTCTCTGCCTGTGCCCACACAGAGGGAAAGTCCGTGGGAAGACACGGCGAGAAGGTGACCGCCTGCAGAGCCGGGGGGAGGGCCCACCAGAAACCCAACTGGCTGGAGCCTCCAGGACTAGGAGAAATTCCGCTAGGCCAGCACCAGCTGTGGGAAACTGGGAGCTTCTGTGACTCGCAGCTGGGGGTGGCGGAGTCAGGATACCAAGCCAGGAAGCCTGCCGGCAGAGGCAGCACACAGAGCCGCCCGCCAGGCTGCCCCGAGCGCCCTCCAGTGACTGGTGTTTTTGTTTCTTTACAGAACCTCTTGCAAGAGAAAAGGCCCAGGATCTCATCTTCAGAAGGAGCCGGGGGTCTCTGGCTCCGGCCCCAGGCAGGAGTGGTGAAAGGAGAGGATTAGGGCAGGCTGAGTCCAGGCACCTCTGAGCAGAATTAAAGGGGACAGGGTAGGGACAGGCTGGATTGGCAGAGGCGATGCTTGGAGACTTAGCCACCAGGAGGTCCAACTGGGGCCTGAGGGCGCCATCAGTGAGTGATTGTGGCGAGGTCCACCTGTCCTGCCTGTCCTTCGCCACGTTGCTTCTTCACTGTCCCCCATCCCTTTGCTCAGGCGCCGCCTCATTCCCGCTGCTTCTCCTGTGTCCCACTCCCTCACGTGCACACAGTAGGTCTGCATGAAGCATGTAGCGATTCGTGTGGGCTCTATATCCCACGCAGAGGACAGGACAAGAGGGTCCCTGAGGTGAGGGACACCTCGAGCTCACCTTTCCGAGGACCCGGCTGCCTGCTGTGCTCCTCCCTTTCTCATCAGAGGTAATGCTGGGTGAGACCGGGGGTTTGCACTCCCTGGAACCTGCTTGACCAGATTCCATCCAGAAGGAGAGAAGCCCAGGAGCCCTCCTCTCCTCCCCAAGTTCAGAGCAACTTAGGATGTCCTCGGAATCTGCGAAGACCTCTCCAGGCTTCCCAAATCACCTGTCTTCAACCTACTTCTTTCTTATGTTTTAGCTACTATTTTGAAAGCAGTGCATGGACATTAAATTCAAATTTTTAAAAATCAGGCAGGGGCACCGGGTGGCTCAGTTGATTAAGCGTCTGCCTTCAGTTAACGTCATGATCCCAGGATCCTGGGATCGAGTTTCGTATTTGGCTCCTTGCTCAAGGGGGCGTGTGCTTCTCCTTCTCCCTCTGCCTGCCACTCCCCCTCTTTGTGCTCTCTCTCTATCAAATAAATACATAAAATCTTTAAAAAATAATAAAATAAAATTCAGGCAAGTAAAACATAAGAGTTATTTTTGAAAATTTTAAAAAGATTTTATTTATTTATTTGAGAGAGTGAGAGAGAGCAGGAGCAGGGGGAGTGGGAGAAAGAGAAGCAGACTCCCTGCTGATCAGGGACCTCGATGTGGGGCTCGATCCTGGGACTCTGAGATCATGACCTGAACCGAAGGCAGACTCCTAACTGACTGAGCCACCCAGGCGCCACATAAGGTTTAGAAATAATGCATGAACCAAGGGTGATGATTGTTGGCAGTCTGGCATAGAATTTCCATCCTGTGCTTCTCTTGCTTTGGGGTGTTCAAGTGTTCAAGCCTTCCATACTTGTCCTGAGACTGCCCACTGGGGACCCTCCCTCAAGATTCATACTAGATTTTTTCCTACAACCCAGAGTTTTCTCTCTCTCATTCTCAATTCCCTCATTTGCTCACAGATCTAGAACTTTCCATGTTGCTGTTTCCACTTGGCAATATTTTCCCACCATTCTCTATTTCACTCAGTTTTTACTGATTTTTTTTATGTTACAAAATATTTTCTTGATTATATATATAATCGTTTAAATTAGACATGTGTTAGTCATCACTTTCCATTTTAGGTAGCCAAAGGCCACCTACAACTGGCTTACACAAAAAAGGGAGGTGACTGATTCGTGCTTAAGACAACTTAGGGGTAGAGCGAGTTTCAGGTGTGTCTCGATGGAGGATAAAAATGATGTCATCAGGTCTTTGTCTTTCCATGGCAACCTGATGACAGGCCTCATCAGGTTCAGAAAAGAGCCCCCCCCCAACAACTCCCTACCCCCACCCCCGCACCCCAGTGCCGTCCTTCCAGTTGGGTGCTCCCAAGAGAAGAGGAGCCGGGCAGAGGTCCAGAGACAGTGCACTCTGATTGGTCAGGACTGGGTCACAAGCCTTTACTGTGCCAGAGGCTGGCCTGAGCGGTAGGTGCTGTAGGGTCCGCGAATGGAGAAAGGAGGCAGGAGATGAAGAGCAGCCCGGGCTGCACTGATTACCCTCCTCTTTAAGGAACATTTAGATTATTTCAAAAATTTTTTATGCAGGGGCACCTGGGTGGTTCAGTGGGTTAAAGCCTTTGCCTTCAGCTCAGGTCATGATCCTAGGGTCCTGGGATCGAGACCGGAGTCGGGCTTTCTGCTCTCCCGGGAGGCTGCCTCCCCCTTTCTCTCTGCCTGCCTCTCTGCCTACTTATGCTCGCTGTCTGTCAAATAAATAAATAAAATCTTTCAAAAAAAAATTTTTTTATGCATAGTGGTAAAATGACTATCTGTGTGCCAAAAGCTTGTTGCGTGATTATTACGACTTCTTTTTTTTTAAAATAAAGTCCCCGAATTGGGGTCCCTGGATAAAGAAGGACCCTATAAAGGGAAAGGGGGAGTCTCTACCTACCCCCCCAATACAGTAGTGAAATATATCATGGGAAACAGGAAAGATTTAAAGAGTGGAGGGGAAAGGGAGCCATTGTCCCCATTTCAGGCCAGAGCCTGCCAGTCCGTTTCCCACCCCTTCCCCTCGCGGGGTTAGACAGTCGCCATGCCACGTCTGAGCCACTGCGCTTCCTGCTTTTGCTGTTCTCGCTGCCTCTCAGAAGTTCTTCATGAGCAGAAAGAGGACAGAAAAACTCTCTTAAGGCCTGAGATACGTGGGAAGCCACTTTAGATTTCCAAGTAAACACGACCGTGTAGAGACGGTTCCCAACAGAAGCCTGATTTAGGGCCCTCCGCGCATGCGCCATGCCGTGTACACCTGCTTTGCGAACAGGCTGCGGTCAGGAAAGCCATCTTGTCCTTGAGATGCCCTTCACGGCTCCTCGTGCCTGCATTCCTTTCTGGTAAACCCAGGATTCCTGCCTGCCTGCGAATCTGTCATGGTTAGAGCTTTTACAAGATGTAAGTAAGGCGGAACCCCTGTAGACACGGTTCATTCTCCGGAGCGCGCTCTTCCGTGTGAAGCGGATTCCCCGGGCCGCTGTCCTTCCCGACTCCGGCTCCAATAAGCCTCTCCTTCTGCCTTCTAGAGGTTCTAAAAGGTGTGTTCGTTGTGCGTCCACAGGAAGTGAATAAACAGTTTTCTCCACGTTTAATATCGTGCACGAGCATCCTCCTGGCGCTAAAGGCGCGCTCTCCATAATCATCCCGAGCCCAGAACAGGGCGTCCCTCCGCGGGGGCTTTCGTTTCTTCCCTGGACTGTCTGGGAGGAAACGGAAAAGAGTGAGTTAGAGAGGAGATCGGAGAGCCGCCTGCGACCCTCGGTTGCCTGCTTCGGTGTCCGCGTTCAGGTGCGTGAGCCCCGAGGTGAGGCCGGAGTGAAACCCGGGGATCCGTGCGGGCGTGCAGGTGCGGTGCCCACTGTGGGCAGACGTGACAGAATGCCCGTCCTTACCATGGCTGGCCATCCGTGCTGCTCAGGGGGACCCCACCGGACTCCTGTCCTCTCTCTAACAGCTTGAGCGCGGTTCTTTGTGGGGGGCCCAGGAGTCCTGAGAAGTCCATGGGATCTGAGATGTAATCTCTCTGTCAAAGAAAACGCACACGATCGCAGGGTTAGATGAGAACGGAGCCAACAGCTGTCAGGTGCCCCTCGATGCCGCCATGGACACAAGCTCCAGGCTTTTCCAAGATGCTGGGCCTTCCAAAGTGGCCGATGAATTTGTCCTGCCCGTTCTGAGGTCAGTGACAGGAGCGAAAAGGAGATCAACCGTCCTGCTCATGCCCTGCCTCCCACCCGACTAGAAAGAAATTAGGAGTCTCTGTCAGTAAGCTAAACCCCAAGTCCCCTGGGGATGGGGGAGGGGCTCAGACTAGGTTTCAGAAACCCAGACTAGTTGGGGGTGGCCTCAAGGGGCCTTCCCGTGTCACCCCAGCTCACTGAGGTCCACCCTCAACCATGAGCTCCAGGTGGCCCTTGAATTCGTGATGAAATGCAAAATATGGTCATCTGTAAATCACAGTCCCCTGGATCTAAAATCTAACTTTCAGCTGAAAGAGAACCAAATGGCCATGTGTTCTAGTGGATGCACATGTTATATTCCAAGAAATAGCTCTCTGGCAGAAAGGGTATCAGAAAGTGATTTGAACCCTTTCTTGGTCTCTTGAGAAAATGAGAAAGATGTGTGTTTGCGGGGAGGGGGAGAAAGGGAGAGATAGCCTTAATTCACAGTTGTAATTCACCTAGACAAAATTACGGTGGAAAACTAGCTTCCTTTCCCTGATAGGCAAGACCATGTAGACCCGTCCTGTTCAATATGGCGGCCGCTAGCCATGTGGCTATTGAGCACTTGAAATGTGGCAAGTCCAAGTTAGGATGTGCTCTGAGTATAAAATACACACTGGATTTCGAAGGCATAGTGTGCAAAATACATTAAATATCCAATTAATGGGGTGTCAGAGGGACTCAGTCAGTTGTGATCTCAGCACAGGTCTTGATTTCTGGGTCGTGAGTTCAAGACCCGTATTGGGCTTCATGCTGGTTGTGGAGCCTATTAAAAAAAAAAAGTCCGGGGGTGCCTGGGTGGGTTGGTGGGTTAAAGCCTCTGCCTTCGGCTCAGGTCATGATCCCAGAGTCCTGGGATCAAGCCCCGCGTCGGGCTCTCTGCTCGGCAGGGAGCCTGCTTCCCTCTCTCTCGATCTGCCTGCCTCTCTGCCTACTTGTGATCTTTCTCTCTCTGTCAAATAAATAAATAAAATCTTTAAAAAAATCTGGTTAATAATTTTAATTGGTCACATGTTAAAATGATAACATTTTGGACAGATTGCATTACATTTTGGACAGATTGCATTAAATTAAATGTATTTTTAAAATCAGTTCCACCTGTTCTTTTAAATGTGCCTACAGAAAATTTTTTAGAAGATTTTATTTATTCATTTGAGAGAGAGCGTGTGAGAGAGTACTAGCAGGGGGCGGGGAGGGGCAGAGGGAGAGGGAGAAGCAGACTCCCTGCTGAGCAGGGAGTCCAACGTGGGGCTCGATCTGAAGACCCAGAGCCAATGAAGAAATAGACCAGAGTCAGGCAGGTGGAGATGAAAGTATCAGCTTGATTAGAGTTGTTGGAGGAAGTGACTTTGGGTTGGATACCCAAGCTGGCTTGCTTCTACTTCACTCCTCAATTAGATGGCCTCACCCCTTGCCATGCACAGTACTGGACAACCTTGGGCCAACCCTGTAAACTTAGGAGCACAGATACTGAGTGCCCTGGAAGGCCAGAGGACCTCAAACTCATGGCATTTCCTTCTGGCCAACTTGTCCACCATATAACTTGCTCAAGGGTGGAAAGAAGCCAGGAGCTTTACTTGGATGGAATTCCTCTACATGGAAATAGGACTAAGGGAATAAGTGATCCTTCCACTACTTCTAACCTTTTTTTTTTTTTAAGATTTTATTTATTTATTTGAGAGAGAAAGAGAGTGTGAGAAAGCACAAGTGAGGGAGAGGGAGAAGCAGGCTCCCAATGGAGCAAGGAGTCCCAACAAGACCCTTGATCCCAGGACCCTGGGATTATGACCTAAGCTGAAGGCAGATGCATAACTGACTGAGCCACCCAGGTGCCCCATACTTCTAACCATCTTTTAAATAAGCAGTGAGTTTTTCGGTCAAGTCCGTAGTCAGCAGATGGCAAGCAACCAGCCAGTAAAAGATACCCGCGCTCAACTTCACCCGTCTGTTCCCTCTGGACCAACCACTTCTGTCTGGGTCATCCTGGGTCTGCTGGTGGGCCGTATGAAGCTAGATGACAAAAGGTTTTGAAATGGGTCAGATCAAAACATTAATTAATTAACTCCAAGTTCTTCCTATAACCAGAATTTCCCCATTTCCCATCCCAAGACATAGCAAACCCTGTCAAATATACCTCTTCAAAGATTGTGCAATGAGATCAAGATTTAGCATAAAGATAGTCCAACAGTAAAGAGTCAACAGTGAGAACCCCCACATTGCTTGTAAACCCCCTTCCATTGCAAATATCTAGGAAAAAATATTAAAATTTGATCTCCTTGCAAATTAGAACTTCAAAGAGTCTGAAATCGAATCCTGTTGTCCTCACGAGATGACAGTTCAAAGAGACCAAAATCTTTTAAAGTCCAAAAAAAATCAAAGAAGTCCAAAATCAGTTTCTCTTCCAGAGTCCAGTGCCGTTTTTAAAGTAAAAAAATCATCCTCCCCAACGTTTTATTTTGGTTTTCAGCTAAACGGGTTCTTTAAGTGCTTAAACATAGGAATAATTCCAGACATACAGGAAGTTCAAGCATAGTACATGGAACTCTCAGAGACCTTCACCCAGATTCACAACTGTTAGCATCTTGTCCCTGTGCCCGTCGTCAACACCGCGATTCAGCTCCAAACCCACCTGGAGTGCTGGGCTTCTGACGGGTTCCTTAGTTAACGGGCTGCATGTTAAGCTTTGTCGGTAGAGGGCGCGCTGCAGGCATCGCTTCCCGGCTCTGGCGTGAGCTCCTTTCCTAGTCCTCGTGGAGCTCAGCCGCCAGATGAAAGTCAGTGGGGATCCATCCCAGTGACTTCAACACCACCCCAGAGGCAGCTTTCTGGCGAGTACCACAGGTGTCCCCCGCCCGGCTTCTCACTGAGACTTACCCTGAAGGTGGCTTCTGCCCAGCTGGATTCCCAGGGAGGTCAACAGCCCCCACCCCCCAACCACATTGTGGGTTTTTGTAGGCAGGTGCCTGCTTCCAGCTTGACCAGCAGCACCTCGGCCAACTCCTCTGCCTCCATTCCTTTTAAAAATGATTATTTATAAAATCTACCACCCTTCTTCAGGTGAAGCCATGGTTTGAGTATGTGATTCTAAAACCATGGGGATGCTTCTGGGATGAAGACATTCATCGTGGTGATGTGCCTTGGAACCCATCGACAAGTCTGAGGAATTCAGGGTTGGCCCCTCCCTGGTACCTTCTCTTAGTCCTGAAGGTGGATCAAAATCATTTTAAGAAAAGAGGGACAGAGGGACACCTGGGTGGCTCAGTTTGTTAAGCGTCTGCCTTCTGCTCAGGTCATGATCCCAGAGTCCTGGGATGGAGCTCCATATCGGGCTCCCTGCTCAGCAGGGGGCCTGCTTCTCCTTCTGCCCTTCACCCTGCTTGTGCTCTCTCTCTCAAATAAGTAAATAAAATCTTTTGAAAAGGAAACAAAAAGAAAAGGAAAGGAAAGAAGGACAGAGTTTGGGGTCCCTGAATGAACACCGCTTACTCATGCGTGACACGAGCGGATTTTTTTAAATTGGATAAATGGCAATTCTCTTTCTCTTTTTCAAAAATTGCAGTAAAATAAACGTAACATGAAATGTCCCATTGAAACCATTTCTATATGTGGGTTCAGCGGCACAAAGTGCAATCACATCACCAATGTTGTGCAACCATCACCAATGTCCATGTCCAGAATTTTTTCATCATCTGAAACCGAAACTGTCCCCAGTAAGCACCAACTCAGCAGCCCCTTCCCCAGGGGCCCCTGGTAACCAGTGCCCTGCGTGTGCCTACTCTGGGTACCTTATTTAAGTGCAATCACACAATATTTGTCCATTTGTGGCTGGCTCATTTCACATTGTATAATGTCCTCAAGGTCTGTCCACATCAGACCTCGGGTCAGCGCTCCCCTCCTTCTTCGGGCTAACTCTCCGTCATAAGGATGCGCCATGCTTTGTTTACCCATCTATCCCCTGTGGCCACCAGGTTGTTTCCACCTGTGGGCTGCTGTGAGAAAAATGCTACTGGGAACAAGGGAGAACAAATATCAAGGGGGAGTCCCTGTTTTCAATTCTTTTGAGTACACCCCCCAGAAGTGGAACTGCCTGATTAAATGATACATCTACACATTTTTAAAGATTATTTATTTAGAGAGAGAATGCATGGGGAGAGGGGGAGAAGAAGGTGGGGAGGGGGAGAGGAAGGTGGGGAGGGAATTTCAAGCAGGCTCCCCACAGGGAGTCTGACACTGGGCTCGATCCCAGGACCCTGGGATCATGACCTAAGCCGAAGGTAGACGCTTAACGACTGAGCCACCCAGACGCCCCTAAAATGTCTACTCAAAATCATTGCCCAGGGGCTCCTTCTCCCGTTCCCTCTCTCGCTGTATTTCTCTCTGTCAAATAAATAAAATCTTAAAAAAAAATCATCGCCCAGTGAATTTTTAATGTCATGAATTTTTAATGGCCGACATCGATTTGAGACTGCTGTGCGCAGCCTGGCTGAGAAACTACCCTAATAGTAGGGAAAAAATGGGCTCTCGCTCCCATCTATCAATATCTAGAAGAGCTACAAGCCGAGCTTCTCTTTCCTGTAACTGATCTACCTCCTGAGCTGCACCGATTACTAAGGCCAAAGGCTGGTATCAACCAAGACCTATTCCTGTGAAAGACAGAGAGAGAGACAGCAGCCTTTCGTGAGGACAAGGCCACCTGCCTCTGTGAGCTGCCAAGTTCATAACCACACATGACCTACATAACCAAAGCCAAAGGCCCAAATGTAGGCATTAGCAGCACAATCTCTGGGTATCGTTTTGCCCCTTATACTCTTAGTCTACTGCTCAGAGCTTTCGGCTCACACCAGCTACCCCAAAATAGACACAACAATGAGGCTGATGGAGAGATGGTCAGAATATGACGTTCATGGCCGATGAGGCCATTGGAGAGTGAGGGGAGCCTTCTCGGCAAGCCACGGGGGCTTGAGGATTCCACGCCACAAGTGGGCAGCTCTCCCTCGGAGGCGCCGGCATGCTGGGCGACTGCCAGCCTTGGCCGTGGGCTTGCCTCCCTGACACGTGTAGCTTGTGGGAGCAGAAGCCAACACATGCTCTCCTGCAAGCAGGCAGGTCCTAAGGAGAGTTTTGAGCAAAGGGCTGAGCTGTGCATAAACCCACTCCCGCAAAAATGAAGTGATGAATCCCTCCTCCTCTGGGAGCAGATGAAGAGAGGCCAGGCGTTCCTCTCTCGGAGCTCCTTCCGCACAGGAAAAGGGAAGGGAAGGGTTTCCTCCTACATGACGCAATGGAAAACCTTGCTATGCACCGATAATCTTGTTCCTGACAAACAGAGAATGGAGGTTTTCGGATGGGTTTGGAAACATTTGTAAAAGTAGGCCAGGTCCTTGTCTACAAAGCAAATCACAAGAAATTAGAAAAACAGAAAAAGAAATGATCTAGGTTGCACTCTATGCCCATAATGCACTAGAGCTGTAATGGAACAAGTAAGGATAGTGAGTTTTTGGTCATTTTCTATTTTTTAGAAGTTTAATTCCAGGGAGTTAACATACGGTGTTATATTAGTGTCAGGTGTGCAGTAATGATGCAGCACCTCTATGCACTATACCCAGTGCTCATCGGGACAAACGCGTGCCTTCATCCCCACCACCTGCGTCACCCATCCCCCACTCACCTCCACCATTTTGGTTTTTTTCCTCCTAAAATTAGACAGGGGTGGGGGCTCATTTTCTATTTTTAGAAACACAACCCTACGTGTATCCCATGTAACTACCAATTGATTAAGACATGGAATGTTTCTGGTGCCCTAGAAGGCTTCTCTTATTCTCCTTCCCAATCCATACTCAGTGTATCGGTTTTCTGTGGCCACTGTACTAAATTCATAATCAATGACCACAACTCAGCAGCCTGAAACAACACGGAGTATTACCCAATGGTTGCGAAGGTGAGAAATCCAGGGAGCGTCACCGATTTCTGTGCTTCGGGTCTCACAAGGTCAAAGCCAAAGATCCTGGCGAGAGTCCGCTTCCAGGCTCATGCATGGTGTTGGTGGAATTCATTTCCTTCCGGATCTTTCCACAGAGGCGCAGGTCTTTCTCACACCCTGAATCCGTCCGACCTCCTTGTGCTTCCATCCAGAGAAACTTCTCTATCTCTAAGGGCTTGTGTGATTAGACCAATCCTGTCTGGATCTTCTCTCTCTCTTGGGGTCAACCGACCAGTGACTTTCATTTCATCTGCAAAGGCCCTCTTGCCATGTGGCATAACATAGTCATAGCCTCTGGGGATTCAGGTGGGACATCTGAGGGGGTCATTGTTCTGCCTACCATCTCCCCTCTTCTGATGTCCAACCCCACTGAGGAATTTTGCCTGCTCTTAAAAATGCATCCAAGTTAGGGGCACCTGGGTGGCCAAGTCAGTTAAGCATCTGCCTTTGGCTCAGGTCATGATTCCAGGGTTCTGGGATCGAACCCCACACTGGGCTCCCTGCTCAGTGGAGACCCTGCTTCTCCCTCTCCCTCTGCCCCTTCCCCTCCTTGTGGTCTCTCTCTCAAATAAATAAATAAAATCTTAAAAATAATTCATCCAAATGAATCATACAGTATGTAGTCTTTTGTACTCAAAGTTTTATCTATGAGATGGCATAGATGGTATAGTTTTATCTATGAGATGGTAGCCAAAGTTCATTATTTTTCACCAGTGATTATTATTCCACTATATGAATATATCACAATGCATTTATCCATTCTAAAGGGGATGGACACGTTTGGGGCTGTTGTAGATAAGGCTGTTACATACATCCTTGTGAATACGTACCTTGGTAGACTCAAATACTCATCTCATGTAGACATCTACTCAGTAGTAGGATTGCTGGTTGAGGCTACATGCACAGTTATCTTTATTAATATGTCTGAACACTTTTCCAGAGTGATGGTGTCAAGGTTCACTCCCATCAGTAATATGTGAGAGTTCCAGGTGCTTCACACCCTTGTCATCTCCTGAGATGGTCACTTTTTACATTATTAGCCATTTTGCTAAGCATGTAATGACGCCTGTGTGATTATTGACTTTAATGTACATTTCTTTGACTATCAGTGATGTTGAGTACATATCCACGTGCTTGTTGACCCCTTGGGTATCCTTTTTGGTGAAGTGCCTGTCCAAGCCCTTTACCCATTTTTTATCATGTTACTTTTCTTATTGATTTGTGGGAGTTCTTTATATTTTATAGATAAAAATATTTTGTTAGATATATTTATCACAAATATCTTCTCAAGTGTCTTGACTTTAACTTGCTAACTGGTGTGTGTATATATATATCTTTTAATTTAGTTTTTCAGTAGTAAAATATACATAATATGAAATTTACCACCTTAACCATTTTTAAGTGTACCTGAAATCCATTAAGTGAATTCATGATGTCTTGCTACTGTCGCCATCATCTGTTTCCAAAAGTTTTCCACCTTAACCCTCCTACACTGTTGGTGGGAATGCAAGCTGGTGCAACCACGCTGGAAAACAGCATGGAGGTTCCTCAAAAAGTTGAAAATTGAGCTACCCTACGACCCAGCAATTGCACTACTGGGTATTTACCCTAAAGATACAAATGTAGTGATCCAAAGGGGCATGTGCACCCAAATGTTTATAGCAGCAATGTCCACAAGAGCCAAACTATGACAAGAACCTAGTTGTCCATCAACAGATGAATGGATAAAGAAGAGATGGTGTGTATATATATATATGTATACACACACACACACACATAAATACACACACAATGGAATACTATGCAGCCATCAAAAGAAATGAAATTTTGCCTTTTGTGACAACGTGGATGGAACTAGAGGGTATTATGCTTAGCGAAATAAGTCAATTGGAGAAAGACAACTATCATATGATCTCTCTGCTATGAGGAAGTGGAGATGCAACCTGGGGGGTTTGGGGGGCAGGAAAAGAATAAATGGAACAAGATGGGATCGGGAGGGAAACAAACCATAAGAGACTCTTAATCTCACAAGACAAACTGAGGGTTGCCGGGGAGAGGGGGATAGGGAGAGGGTGGTGGGTTTTTGGACATTGGGGAGGGTATGTGCTATGGTGAGTGCTGTGAAGTACGTAAACCTGGCGATTCACAGACCTGTACCCCTGGAGCTAATAATACATCATATGTTAATTAAAAAATTAAAAAAAAAACTTTTCCATCTTGCAAAACTGAAACTCTGTGCTGATTGAACATCAACACTCCATTCCCCTATCTCTCCAGCCCGTGACACCCACCATTCTACCTTCTGCCTCTGGAAATTTGACTACTCTGGGTACCTCATATGAGTGGAACCCTGTGGTATCTGTCTTTTATAATCACTGAGCATAATGTCTTCAAAGTTCATCCATGTTGTAACACGTGCCAGAATTTCATTCCTTCTGAAGGCTGAATAATATGTCTGTATGGACCACATTTTATTTACCCATCCATCTCTTGGTAGACAAGTGGATTGCTTCCACTTTTTGGCTACCATGAATAATGATGCTATGGAATTGGCTGTACTCTTACTGGTATATTTTAATGTTCAGAAGTTCTTAATTTTAGTCAAGTCCAAGTTACAACTTTTTTCTGTTATCTGTGTTTTTGTTTTGTTTTGTTTTCTTTTCTTTTGACAGACAGAGATCACAAGTAGGCAGAGAGGCAGGCAGAGAGAAAGAGAGAGGGAGGAAGCAGGCTCCCTGCTGAGCAGAGAGCCCGATGCAGGACTCGATCCCAGGACCCTGGGATCATGACCTGAGCCGAAGGCAGAGGCTTTAACCCACTGAGCCACCCAGGCGCCTCTGTTATCTGTGGTTTTTATCTCGTATATAATATTTGTATATCCCAAGGTCTATGAACATAGCCTCTTAGGGGTTTTTCCCTACAAGTTTTCATGTTTTACTTTATCACCGACATCCATAATTCTTTAGGTATGATGCAAGGAAAGGATTGAGATTCACTTTTTTCCCCATATGATATCCAATTGGTTGAAAAGATCATCTTAACAACCCAAGGTTAGGCAAATAGACCTGTGGAAATTACACAGTTTATTCCTTTGGTCTATTTGTTTAGCTTTGTGCAATACTATAGCTTTACAGTAAACTGTGATGTCTGGTTGTGCAAGTCTTTGAACTCATCCTTTCTCAAGATGATCTTTACTATTCTAGGGCCTTTGTTTTTCCACATAACTTTTAGAATTAGCTTGTCCATTTCAACAAAACACCTGCTGGGATTTTTTTCTTAAGATTGCATTGAATCTATAGATCAATTTATTTTTTTTAAAGATTTATTTGTTTGTTAGAGAGAATGTGCAAGTCGGGAGAGGGTCAAAGGGAGAGAATCTTCAAGCAGACTCCACTCTGAGCATGGAGCCCAACGTGGGGCTCAGTCTCACAACCAGTGAGATCATGACCAGAGCCAAAACCAAGAGTTGGACACTTAACCGACTGAAACACACAGGAGCCCCAAATCTATAATCAATTTAGAAAGCATTTACTTCTTAACAATATTGACTGTTTCAATCCTTAATTTATTTAAGTAAATTTCAATTTACTTAAGTCTTTCATACAAAGCAATGCTTTATAATCTCAGTGTGGGCTTTTTGCGGGCTATCTCCTTAGGTATTTGGTGGTGCATTCTAATGTCATTGTAAGTTGTTTATTTCATCCATTTTTGTTTGTTTCTTAGTATAAAGAAATGCAACTGACTTCTGCATACTGACCTTATATCACTAAATTACTAAATTACCTTTAGTAATTTTACTAAATTCATTATTAATTTTAATGATTTGCCAGTCAATTCTTTTGGATTTTCTACAAATACATCAATATATCAAGTTGTAATATGAGGATGGGCTAGCAAATCATATCGTATCATCTGCAAAGAGTGAAAATTATTTGTCACAGCCAGAAACTCAATCCTGGGCTACTCACTGTTCTGATCTGGAATGACCCATGTATTTTCAGCTCATATTTCATTGGCCTGAACTGGCCACATGGCCCTTCCTGTTGTGGAGACCGAATCGTAGGGAGCAGATGAAGTATTTATTGAGGCGTTGCTAGTATTAGGATGATGACTTCAGTGTACTGAGAGAAAAGAACTGTCAACCTAGGATTTGATACTTAGTGAAAGTATCTTTTCAAAATGAGCACTTGAGGAAATATTCTGAAACAAAAACTGATTCTTCTCAAGGTTTCTGGATGGCTCAGTCGGTTGAGCATCTGACTCTTGGTTTTGGCTCAGGTCATGATCTCAGGGTTGTGGGATCAAGTCCCACATTGGGCTCCGTGCTCACTGGGGAACCTGTTGGATTCCCTCTCTCCCTCTGCCCCTCTTGTGGCTTGCATGCTCTCTCTATCTCTCAAATAAATAAATAATCTTTTTAAAAAAAATGGACTCTTCCTACAATCCTTGTGATTGACCACCACTGAGAGGCTCCCCCCAGGGAGCAGGCAGGAAACTAGAGAGGGACCATTGTCCATCCCCCACACCACCCCACAGGGAGCCAGACTAAAACATCAGGGAGGACTGAAGCCCAGCGGACTTGGGAATTCCTTGTTTTCTTAGTTCCTAAAGATGAGAAAGGCAAGTGAATGAGACCGGAACAGGGCATTTTTGTTTGTTTGTTGAGCTATCTTGTGTTTTGTCTTCTTGAGCAAGACAGAGTTCTCTGATATCTCTGAGAGAGCACTGGTGATCACCCTGTGGAGGGAGGGAAGGAAAGGGGGGAGAGAGAGAGAGAGAAGGAAAAGGAAAAGAGGGAGGAGGAGAGGGAGGAGAAAAGGAAACTGAAACTGACCCTAGTGGACGTTGCAAAACATCTGGCCGCCCAGCCTGTGAACCACGAACTCACCTTCTCAGTCAGAAGCCAGAGTGGACACAGGTGCTCTGCTCTGGGCTGGAACTGGAAGTTGGTTTGGAGCTGGACAAAGTAACTGATGTGTCTTGATCACCTTTTTGTTTGTATGAGGCATAAGAGCAGCATATAAAAGGAAAACATTTCACGATTTTTCTGCGAATTTGTTTATGTCAGGGTGTGCATGCGTGCGTGCCTGTGTTCGTGTATGCGTGCCCGTGTGCAAAGGCTTTGGCTCTAGTGGACATTTGTTCATCTTCCTGCCTCTCGGACACTTTCCCCCTGTTTGGCGCGGTTCCCTGCGTGATCACCCTTGGGCTGGAGAGACTGGCTTCCACCGCGGAGATCAGATACTCATTCCGGCTCTCTCCATGCAGAGTCCCCCAAGCAGCTGTACCCGCAGGAGACTTCTCTTTGGGAGACCCATCCAGAACATGCGCTGGGGACAGCAGCAGCTCTGTCGGCATCCAGAGCCATCTGTGGGCGAGGTCCCAGCAAGGCTGCAGCGCTGAGCTGGGCCCGTGACTGCCACCGCCAGCCCACTTCTCAGGGGATCCTGGGGCCGTTGTCCCCGATTCCGGGTGTCTCCAGACGGATTTCTTTCTCTCTAGTCCTGAGGTGGCTCATGTTCTTCTCTGTGTTGCTTTCCTGATTAAACCAGGTGGCGTTCATTGAAGCTGTCAGCAGCTGGGGATGAAATGTGCCGCAAACGTATTCATCAGAACCTCATTTGTCATTGAACTTGGCTAGTACCTGGCTTTCATGCCATGCTCCAAATGGCCTTTATGGACCCAACATTGTGAAAAACATTCTTTTGGGGTTTTACGCCTTCATGTCTTATGTTCATGTGTGATTTTGCTGTTGGTTTCTGATATGTTTATGGATAGTTTTTCCTTCTACTTCTAGTTTATTAAGTTTTTATTTGGATTTTATTACATGACTTTAAGTATTTGTTTGGTGGAGCCTCATGGCCAAGGGTCAGGAGAGGAAGAGGTCAAGGGGACAGGGCGTGGGGGAAGGGAGGGGGAGGGGCTGGCAGTGGCAGGGCAGGGAGTTGGGGGGTGGCGTCTGAGTCAGAGATCTCCAGCAGCTGCTTGGGGTCTTCTAACAGCAAGATCCCATGTTGTCGATAGATCACAGCTGTCTGGCGAGGCTTCACAGGGCATATGAAGCAGGCGGGCCCTAAATGGTGAAAAATTGGCCTGTCTGGGCTATTTTAAAAATCACTGGATGTGTAAAAATTCAAGTTCAGTGCCAGTGGGCTTTGGAGCTAACGGGTCTCAGCCTGCAGTGGAAAAATAAACAAGCTGGGGCCAACAGGCAGAGGCATCTCTGGCCCATTTATGTAACAGGAGCTTAGAGACAGCCCGGAGCCTGGAGACTTTAGTAGAAGGAGAAAAGCTGCTTCTTCCTTTGCCACGCACCGTGGTGCAGTGTCTGTCTGAGGAGGAAAGGAAACTGGCGGGTCCCGGAGTAGTGATGGAGAGCTGGCAGAGATGATGAAGGAGGACACCCCACATAGTGCACATTCCTTCCACGGAAGCCTTGGGGCAGGGGCAGAGCAGGGCGGGGCAGGAGGAGAAAAGCTGAAATGGGCAATGGTAAGACCACCAGAGCCAAAGGAATGCCAGTAATCTGTAATATGATCTCAGGCTTTCCAGAGTTATTTCTCCCTTTGACAAATCGCCCATATGTCCTTCTCCCATTTTCAAGATGAGCACACAGGTACAGAGAGGTTAATTCACTTACCCAAGGCCACACAGCAAGTAAATGGGAAAGCCTTGCATTTGAACGCAGGCAATCTATCTCAGGGTCTGCTCCCGACTCTGTGTGATCCGCAGAATCAGGGCTGGGGGCAAAGAGGTTCTGGGGAGGGAAGACAAGGAAATGTGGTCAGAGAATGAGCCAAGGGGTCTTGCTGGTCTCCTCTGATGGGCTCCAAGAAGGAAAAGGTATCCTGATCTGAAAGGATGCCTTCTGCGCTGTTGTTGTAATGGGCTCTGGAGACAACGAGTGCAGGAGGGAGGAACATGGGGATGCGGGAGCAGGGAGAGCGCCCCGTTTCCACTCCTCTGCACATGGTCTGCACCTCCCTGCCCCTTCCCTTGCATCTCCTTTTCCTTCGACTTCTTCTGCCCCATCCACAAAAATAAATAACCTTCCCTCAGAGAAGGGCTCACTCTCCTAAGCGAGAGAGCAACAGGGAGAGCTCGGGCTGGGGACCAGCCTGATGACCTCCATCTCCAGGACCGATGGACCTACGACCCCCCATCACTTAACAGCAGGCCCCAGGGACACATCTGCAGTCCAGAGGAGAGGGGACACCCTGTGGAAGCAGAAGACAATGCTGGAGGCTGGCCCATCTCCCTGGGGCTTTTTCCGGAGGAGCGGGCCAAAATAGTTATGCACCTCCTGCAGCCTGGTGATAAGTGGCTACTTATTTACTGAGCTCACTGTTAGCTGTGCAAGTGGTAGAGCAGACTGGGGTCAGCTGCTCCCCAGAGCCGTGGAAACCAGGCTCAGAGCCGCCTTGTCTCATCTGCCTAAAACTCCAAAGTTAGAGAGAAGGTCCTTGCAGTTATGGGGACCCGGGGTAGAGGCTCTAAGTGGGCTGACCATGGAGCTGGTGAACTTGAACTCATCCCCTGGGCACACACGAGGAGAAGCCTGAGTAAGTATGAGAAACATAAACACGCTTACCTTACAAATAAGGTTTGAAGCAATATGGGAGAAAATGCATGGGCAAGTTGTGAAACACTCTGCTAGTTAAGATACTAGTTTGCTTCGTCATCATCACGGGCAACAGCATCAAAAGGGATTGCGTCTTATTTCACTCAGCATAATCTCTTCCAGTCCCATCCATGTTGATACAAAAGTTGGGTAAGTCAAGCAGAGAGAGTCAATTATCGTATGGTCTCACTCACTTGTGGAGCATAAGAAATAACACGGAGGATATGGGGAGATGGAGAGGAGAAGGGAGTTGGGGGAAATTGGAGGGGGAGATGAACCATGAGAGACTACGGACTCTGAAAAACAATCTGAGGGTTTTGAAGGGACGGGGGGTGGGAAGTTGGGTGAACCTGGTGGTGGGTATTATGGAGGGCACGTATTGCATGGAGCACTGGGTGTGGTGCATAAACAATGAATTCTGGTACACTGAAAAGAAATTAAAAAAAGAAAAAATTTAAAAAAAGGGATTGTGTCCTCTTTCTGATGTTTATCTAAAGCATCTGCTTTTCTTACAATGAACGCGTAAAAAGTATGTGTATGTAGGCTTTGTTTTGTTTTTATTGTTCTGTATGCAGGTTTTGAATAAGAGGTAAAAAGATAGAAGGCTTATCAGTTTCTGGGTAAATCCTAAAAAGTAAATCTAAGATACTATGAATCAAAATGTTTCTTTCCATGCTCCTAAGAACTGATAGCATGCCAATCTCCCAGGACACAGGCATGACAAAACTGTCACACACAGACCCAGGATCACCACCAACAGCTTGCAGGTGCTGCTCCATGGCTCTTGGGCTGCGAGGCTGTTACGGGAAGTCTGAAGCCCATGTGCTTGGTGGCCCCAGGGTCCTTTTGTTCTCTTTGGAGTCTGGTAACTTTGCTAGACTCTGGCCTGATACTACCATTCGGTGGCCATTCTCCTGGGACATGGTGTGCTCTTTTATGTCCAGAAAGATTTCTTGAATTTTAACTTTATTTGTTTAAAGATTTATTTTTAAGTCAACTCCAATCCCAATGTGGGGCTCGAACTTGAGACCCCGAACGAGATCAAGAGTCACACTCTCTTCTGACTGAGTCAGCCAGGTGCCCTCTGGATTTTTACTTTAAATATTTGTTCTGTTCATGCTTCTCAGTCTTCTTTGGGAATTCCAATGAGCAGATGTTGGACTTTTGCATTTATCCCGTGTATTCTTGCCCGACCTTTGTTTTCACTTTACTTTGCTCTTTGTCTTCATCTTTGTCTTCATTGTCGGTTACTTTTTTTTTAAAGGATTTTATTTATTTATTTTGAGAGAGAGAGAGAGAGAGCAGGAGCAGGGGGAGGGGCAGAGGGAGAGAGAGAAGCAGGCTCCCCACCAAGCAGGGAGCCCAACGTGAGGCTCGATCCCAGGACCCTGGGATCATGACCTGAACCAAAGGCAGAAGCTGAACTGACTGAGCCACCAGGAACCCCAATCGATCACTTTTTTTTTTAACAACATCTTTTCCCTTTCACAAGAATTCTGATAACATTTATTTTTGTGATGGCTTTATTTTTCTCATCTCTTCCTTCTTAAGCCTGACCAGTTTCCTCTTCATTTCCTCCTGGTGTCTTGCTGAGCCCTGAAATCCTTGTTTTGCTCTTGTACAGGAAACGGCGGCACTTGCTTTAAAAAAAGTAATTGCAAAGTAATTGTTCACAGTTTTCTTCCCTTTTTAAAAAAGAGTTAATTAATCTATTTATTTGAGAGAGAGAGTGGGCACACATGAGTGAGGGGAGGGACAGAGGGAGAGGGAGAAAGAATTCCAAGCACACACTCAGTGGAGCACAGAGCCTGTTGTGGGGCTGAATCCCATGATCCTGAGATCATGACCTCAGCTGAAAGCAAGAGGCAGACATTCGACTGACTGAATCACCCAGGTACCCCCTTTTTTTCTCCTTTTAAATTGTTCACAATTTTCATCAGCTTTTGGGCAACAGCTTTCTGGAGAGTTCTTTATATGCCATTTGTTTCTGTTATTTGTTTCTATTTGTAACTGTTTTTGTTTTTACTGTTTCCAGTTTGATGTTGAACATATATTTTTTTATTGTCATAAAATATGCATCACATAAAACTGACCATTTTCATCCCTTTTTAGATGTGCATTCAGCAGTATTAGTACATTCACATTGTTTGGCTGCCATCTCCAGAACTTTCTCATCTTCCCAAATGGCAACTGTGCCCCTTATGCACTGACTCCCCAGGGGTTCGCCCAGCCCCACCGCTCCCCACGACCACTTTTCTACCTCCCATCTTTATGAACTTGACTCCTCTAGCAACCACATACAATGAAATCATGCAATGTTTGTCTCTTGGGTCTGGCTTATTTCACTGAGCCTAA